GTCGGATCAGATGTAGGTAGGGCGGAATTAAAAAAATCACAAAATCAAAATCAAAGTAAAATAATGAGATAAAAGGGCATTAATAACAAAAGTATTAAAATAAGTTTATAGCCAAAATAATTAAAGCCCGTACACTACATCAGATTTTAATCAGATTGTGTGGTGACCAACTTTTTTTAAAATCAATATTCTTATATTACCCGTAAGTACAATTTATTAGAAAATGAATAAATTCTGGGTATTTGAATTCATGAGTAGGCTTCTCCCTTAAGGCAACAACAAGTTACAAAGCATGTTACTATAACAACCTAAGCATCTTAATTCTTGTTTGTCTATCAACTAGACCTATGTAATGTCCTGAATACAATAAATACCTTCTCATTAGGGATTGTATGGGACATCTCTGAAGACTTGATCATGACAGGAACACCACCAAGATGGCCGACAGCATCGTACACCATTTTGAAATTGTGTTTCTCATTAGTCAATAATTCATCGAGTTGTGTTGGCTTGCCAGTCGCTGTGAAGTAGAGTGTTATAAAATGAAAACCAATGATTTGAAAAGAGATCTTATATACAGCAAAATATGTTTTTTCATTTTTCTATCCAAAATATTGTACATTTTCTTTTTCTCTAAAATTTGTTTTTTAATTTTGTTTATCAAAATGTTGGGAAAAAAAAATTGGGGATTTGTTTTGTGAAAAGTAGCAAATACAGATTCTGGGAATTGAAAAAAGGGAAAATGACCAGTTGAAATTGCTGAACATTTAGAGAACATTTTTTGTAGATTTCATTGAACAATTTCTCCGGTGTCATGTCAGCAAAATTTTGTTTTTACAAATTCCATAAAAGTTTAACATATAATTTTGCAATTACATGCTTGTCAATTTGTTTATTTATTTTAAAATTGTTATAAAACTTATCCTTTATTTTGATTTTATAATGAAAATTACAGTTTTGTGAAATTCTGACAAAAACCTCCAAGAAGATTGTGACGTGACATACGTGATGATTAGAAAACTTGAATATTTTATTTTCGAGCCCTAACAAACAACTTTTATTTTTAAATCCTACTCAGAAATATACAGTAATGTCACTTACTTGGACTAAATGTATCACACCATGTTGAATTGCGGAATTCCTCACCATCAGACTCAGTTTCTTCGATTTGAAACTGAGATTGTGTGGTGTCATGACGAATGCCATTCCATGGCAACAGTGATGGATGATAGTGGTGCACCAAACAACACAGGACTCTTCCGTCACTGAATGACACAGTAAAATTCTCAACCTAAAAAATATATTATTTCTTATTTTTTGCTACGATCAAAACAAAAAATTACACAACAAGATGGTGAATTGCACCTTTCCAGGCCATAGCACAACCAGCTAGTGAATGACTAATGTCAAAGTCACTTACTGGCTTGTGATCTGCTGTGACATTCCCATAAGTTGTTTTATTAATTGCAAAACATACTGTAAATGCATTAATTATTCACTGGGTTTTAATTTTCGCTATTTTTGCTGATAAGTGAAATCCCCTAAATTAAATCTTTGTGAACATGTAAAATAACAATAAAACTCATTGTTTTCTTGACAAAGTCATGAAATGTAAACGATGAATATGCTCAAAATATCAAAATAGTGAAATTAAATGTTTTTACACTACATACATGTATATTTAATAACATCAGTGCACAACGCTATTATTTTATCTTTAAGTGTGAGTGACCGGTTCTTGTCAAATAGTCTCTGCGTACATGTACACATGCAAAACGTAAATAAGTGTGACAACCTATAAGTCAGCAACAAAACGTTTCCATGACGTAAATCAGTGTTCTCCCCAGGCCAAAACAGCGTCGCGGGCCGCGACACGATCGGATTTGCCCGCGACGCTATGTGTTAAATCTACAAATGCATTGTATTAACGCCAATTTCCCGGGATAATCCCCTGTTGTTTCTCATTGGTTGGATATAGTTTTAAAAAAACAAAGCAGTTCTATAAAGACAAAGCCGTAAGCCCCGGTGTCAAACGCTCTTTGCCAAACGTATATTCATATGCAAATGATATAGTCACATTTGGGGTCAAAAGCCACATGTTTCCGGTGTGTACGAAACGTATTTTCATTATTATTTTTAGAAATGTAGTCGTACCATTATTAAGTTTTGATTTTTGTCAGTATTTTTGATATTGTATTTATTTTTTGAGATCAAAATGTGAAAAAATATATATTTATGATGTAAACAATTTTGACCTCGTGATTGTGAATCCAAGATGGCGTCACCCACGTAAGATCCAGCGAGCGTGAACTTCCCACTCGGATCGCATATCGTGCTCAGATTCGGATGAATTAAGTGAAGCATAATTGAAAATAATATATTTATCAAGAAATCGGGCATTCTAATCAAGAAACGTGTGGAAATTGGAGTGACACTCGTGTTATTTCTTGGAAGAAAAGCCTCAATTTTACGTGGTATAACAATGGCGACAATTCGTAATTCAGACCTCCGTTGTCTCGAATTGTTCACAATTGTGTTGAACAGACAACATCGATGATTAAAAAAAAATACATAACACTGTAAATAGGTAACAAAATTACTATTCAAATCATTTTAATCTAATCATCCATCAATGAACAAGTTAATTAGAGATTTTACTTTCTTCCAGAAGATGAACAACTACACACAGTTTGTCAATTTTATAGGCAATGATGTCACATTTTCGGTCGTCACTGTTGATGTATATAAGTAAAAACAAAAACATGGGTGCTAGGGAAAGGAAGATAGTATTCAAAATTCCAAAATAGAATAAATATCGAATAAGCTCAAGAAAGAAATAATAAGGATTGTAGGAAAGTAAATTAGTTTTGATGTACTTACCTTTAAGTTATAATACGCACAGACAGCTTTACTCCATTCTAGTAACAGAGACAACTTGTGAGATTTGTAATAAAGGCCGGGTTCACTCAGTCGCTTTTCATCGCTGACCACATGGGTTTCATTCAAAAGTAGCAACTGCAGTTGACGGCGAGTTCTCAGATTCTTTTTCAGGAAAGTCACTTCCTCTTGTATTTGATTTTCATTTAAATTGATGCTTATCTGTTCAAAAATGATTGAAATGTTAGTTTCATAATGACGCTCATAACCCATTAAAGGCTGTCATGCAGCGCGTGTTCGAATTTTATGTAAATAAACAATGTGTTTCACATGTGTTGTATATGTCACTACATCAAACAGGCCGCAGCATGGCAGCCACCTGTCTTGAACCTTTTATATGTAATTCCAGTTCACATTTTGTATATTTTTATTTATTTTTTTATAATTTTTGTGTAAATTGAGCAAATAATTGAACATAATTTCCCCAGGGAAGTCGTCACCTGCACATGTGTCAAATGGCCATAGCGTGTCATTGTTTGCAAACAAGCGTCCACCAATGAGCCTTTGCGTTTTTAGCGTGTGTTTTTATCGTCACTTGAAACTCAATTCTTGTGTGTGAGCAGGTGACGACCCTCTCGTTTAAAAAAAGACATGCCCTACTAATACCACAAACATGGTATATACACCACACCAGTTAAATGTGTTGTTATTTAAGCAAAACTTGATCACATTTACAGTGTATGACATTACTAATCAGACCAGAAATGATCGAGGAACTCATCCATTCATTTGTTCTGATGCCGATAAAAAGCAAAACAAATTTAGTGTTTTCATTTACCACTAGGAGAAAATCAAGTTAATATAACTGCCCAATAAAAAAAGACATTTTTTGTGTGAACAAATGTTTCCAGTTGCTGCTTTATTACTATGTATTTTACAAAAAAAATACATTCTGGTAAAAAGATTTGTCAGAACAGATGAATAATTGATGATAAACGGTACCACTTTGTTATCAGAATCAAAATAGTGGTCATCAAGCGTAGAATGGGCAAACGTTTTTTAAAAGTTTTGTGTATGAAAAAGACCCATCACGAGTATAATATAATCATTGAAGAGAATATAGATGTATTGTATACAAATACTTGTGAATGGTTTATTATTCAAACAAATCTATAAAACTTGTACCTGAAAATGGAACACAAGTCTCCAAAGTAATTCTAATGTTTTCTCACGATGTCCATCAATAATATCTTTGCTAGACAGACCACCACCTGAAAACACAATCATAACATGTGACATTTAATAGCACAAACTAGTTAAAATAAGACGCCTAAAAGCAAGTAATGCAAGTGTGAATTGCAACTTTTTAGCATAAGCCTTTAATTATTTGTGCCATTAACAAACAAACATTTTATTATTTCAAGAAAAATTAGTATTTTAAGTCAATGCCAATATGAGATTATGTAATTAAATATTAAAATTTGTTCTTACTAGCTGATCATTTCAAAGAAATCTGTTTACAGTTACAAAAATTCATATATTTCTTGAGTCAACCATTATTTTCAGGTGCATGTAGATAGTATTGATGTCTTTACAGCATAGGGTTTTATACCAATCAGTGACAATTTTCATGTCATGTGATGCACATTTGTTTGTTTATTACTTACTTTCTATATCTATGCCAACTTCCTTCATAGCTTTCAAACACACGCCTACATTGTGTATCTTCTGTAGTCTGCTGATAGCTGGTGTTCGTAATTGACTCAGAAGCTTCCAGTTGTGGGTCAACAGTCCCATTATTCGTCTGAGTAAAGCAAAAAGTTACAATTGTTGAATGTACGATAATCATGACTAACTTAAGGGGCTGTGAATAGTTAATATATGGGAACACCAAACTTAAACCTATAAACAAAAGTTTGAAAGTGTGAAAAAAAATGAATAGGACAAAAACTAAAACAGAAACAAATATTAACCTTTTCACCACCCGTTCCCTCATTTTGTCACAAATTCACAAAATAGTTCTTTATCCATGTAGTCTGCAAGTCTGCACTGTCCTTCAGAAAATTGGGACAAAAATAGCCAAATTTTTTTGAGCAAAATCTGAAAATTGACTTAATTTTTTTTTAGCTGGTTCCAAAATTAGGGTTATTTCAGAAAATATTAAAGAATATAAAAAAGTGCAGAAAAATTTTAGCTGATGGTGAAAAGGGTAAAACAGTAAATGAAATCACTTTGACCCCTCCCCCACCCTTTTAACCTTGCAAAGAGATGATGTTGGTGTGCATATTTTAATTCTCCACAGAAGGTTTAAAATTGTGCATTTTCTTGTATCAGAACGATGCTGAAAACAGATTCAGTTTGAGGATATTCTAAATGCTACTTACGTCAAACGAATACCACAGCGTAAATCAACAGCAATATTAGACACAGCATAGTCAAATTCATCCAATGAGGTTTGAGTAGCAGTGATTGTGTAACCAAGGTAACCAAGATGGCGAGTGACATCACCTTCACCACTTAGAAAGTCGCGCGAGAAGATCAATAGCAAATTTCGACTTGACTAAAAAAAAAGATGAAATAGAAAATTAAAAACTGAAATTTGAGAATGAAAATAGTAAGTAAATTGTTATCAGATCATAAGAAGAAATGTTACACACAACAAGCACTGCACAGAACATCAAAGCAAGCTGAAACAAGATAAGGTTACTGATTTCTATGAATACAAAACGTCAAAGAAAATCACAAAATATTTGATAAATCAAAATCAACAAAGATTGTAGACTTACTTTGAATTCAGCATCTTTACAGAAGAGGCACGGATCATGGTCGATAAGTTTAGTTAATTTAGCACGGTCCAAAAACAGTACTAACAGTAAAAATTTCTTGAGAGTAAACTTTGCTAGAGCCTCCTCATATCCTAATGAAATATAAGTTGTATTTAAATCAATGACATCGTTTATAGATCATTACATCATTAGATTATAGATAATTACATCATTGGATTATAGATGACATCATCAGATTATAGATCATGACATCATTAGATTACAGATCACGAGACATCAGATTACAGATCACGACATCAGATTACAGATCACGACATCCGATTATAGATCATGACATCAGATTATAGATCACAACATCAGATTATAGATCATGACATAAGATTATATATCACATTGTCAGATTATAGATCACATTGTCAGATTATAGATCACATCGTAAGATTATAGATCATGACATCATCAGATCACAAATCATGACAACATCAGATTATAGATCACGACATCACCAGATCACAAATCAAAACATTAGATCATAGATCATGATATCAGATCATTTGACATGGCGAAATGTACTAGATCATACACCATGTCACATCACTTTGGTATCAGATCAATACATCATGACATACGACTTATCAAGGAAATACTGTGCATCAGTAAATACCCAACAAATGTATTCAAATTGAATGTGATATTGTATAAGTAAATACTTATATGACATCAGCTCAGATGTTAAATTACACAGCATGACATCATCTTAGTGAAATACTCACCATCTTTGAATAGATTTGGTACTGTAGGATGTGAATAATCACTAGCTATCATTGGATTATTTAATAACCGTGTGACAATAAATGTTGACAAGCCATGTACATCAGTATTACTCTTCAAATTCAGTACAACTCCGTAGATAGTCTAAAAAAATCCAAAAACAATATCATTTAAATGGTTTTTCACAAACACAAACACAAAGACAGGTTTCTTATTACCGAAAGATGAAATACATCTAAGTATCACTTGAAGTTACACTAAACGTGGCATGTCCATATTTCTACATATAAGGGTGGGACATTACTTCTCGGAGGGGACAGGGATTAGCAAAATAATTCACACAAAGTGACATAAACTCTCAGAACGAATGGAATATAACCCAGTGAATGAAAAAATCTAACACATCTCCCAACCCCTTTCATATCAGAACACTACCATTCACAACAGCAAATTTAGGGTCACGGTAAAAAGCAAAGCAAAACATTATTGATCGACTTACCTCCAGCCCAATTCGTAGCCATAATGGGTTATAACAAAGTATCATATTTAGTAATTGCTGTCTCACACCTGAAGATTATGATAAAATGTACATAATATTATTATACACATGTCACTGAAACACCACAAGTTACGGAGTGCCATAATTTTGCATTATTGCACTGGGGAGTTTACATCCTACCATATTAGAAAACACAAATTCCAAATATGGAACAATTAGGTGCGTAAGCGTCCTCTGATAATAAAACAAACTGCCAACAGGGTTTGACCCCACACAAAAAAGTTTGCTAAATCTGTTCTAAATGTTTTAGATTTCGGCATACCCATGATGTATTCCTGGGAGGATTGACCTCCGACATGCATGACAGTCGATACTCCCGCTGTCTTTGTGCATACTTTGCAGTATCCTCATAATAACTTTATATTATTATACATCCGCCGACTAAAACAATAGCATTCTGCACAAAGCCACATTTGCAAGTAATTGCAACCTTCACAATTATTTATGTGAATTACGTTACTAACATTAAACCGGTTCTCACCGTAGTCTTTGTTGATGTGTTTATCTGCTCTCACCAATAAACGTAAACTTTCTATTTCTTCCTCAATTTTGTGAACGACTCTAACAATGGATTCACTTTCAAATAACATACAAGCACTTCTGCGAAGTCTGTTCAATCTCCGAGTTGCAGTGTAAGATTTCAGAGACAATTCCTCTTTGGTTGGCGCTAATGTGATATCTTTCGTATCCATGCAAAGGATTTTACCAGCATCAACTACGGCAAAAATACAAAAAATGTAGGATAGTCATTAGATCATTATTCAACCTTTTCACCACCACTTCCCTCTTTACATCATATGTTTATAGTCTGCACGTTCTTTCAGAAGATTGGGACAAAAATAGCCAATTTCTCCAAGAAAGTCTGGTGGCGAAAAGGTTATTAAAGCTTGATTACCAGAAAGAAAAAACGGGCAAAGCACCACAGTTTGTCTAGTTTGGTATGGGGGGGTACCATTAAAAAAAAGCGATACATTAAAAATTAGCCTATTAAAAACAAGATCCCTTGCACTTAAAGATACACTAAGTAAAATGAGAAAGGAAGCAGTGGATCACCAGGCAGTTCTGTAATGTGTATCCTGGTTACTTTCATGGTTCATCACTGTCCATAATAGTTTGACCAGATTTCACTCATTAACCATGCAAATTTATTGCAACGCCAAGGAAAGAATTATAGCATCTTTTTTTCGAAGGCAACTACATGTATCAGCAGATACAGCACATGCATATAGACTATATAACTGTAAAATTCTTTATTTTTGCTGAGGTAATGATTCAGTGAAAATAAAATCCAGCGAATATACCTTTTTTCCTATATTTTACATTCAACTCGCCAAAAATCAGTGAAAATAAATTCTATGCAAAGTATCCAAAATGTTTTTTTTGCGAAAATTAATTCCAGCTAAAATAAAGTATTTCACAGTAACTGTCATCCAGTGTATAGAAAATTAGCATATTCAGATTAGCAACGTGCTATATTTATCAGCCAATCAAAGTAATGATCACCCAATGACCATACAAGCAAAACCAAGGCAACATGTCCAGACTAGTATGGGGACGGGCAAATAATGAGAAGGTAACCAGTCTATGTAAAATATTACCCTTTCTGAAGAGATATATAATTTTACATCAAGTTTGCAAGTAGAAAATTGGGAAATTGTTCAGCAGTCACTATATGGAGTGCATGAGATGGGAATCTCAGTTGATGTTTGTTAATTACTGTTGACAGCCATACTGCTATATGGTGTTGATAATGTATGAAGCCAAAATTTGTGTGAATGTGAAAGCGTTACAGTTACTGCGCAACTCGTATTTAAATTAAAAGTTAACAATTCATTTTATACACGCAGATGTATAGACACCGCCGAGGATGGATATCGAACACAACGACCATGTCCCTTTAACTAACACAATCCTCTAATCTACTTTAGTTCTGTAATAATTTAGATTCACCTCTATTCATTTTACAGCTTGGATCCTTCGGGCAGTCCAGCTCATCCGGCGTTAAAATAAAATTCAACCATCGTGTGAATCCTAGTTCTTGCTTCTTCATCCATTTCTCATCGTAGTACATATTTTGAGAAGCGTACATCATTGGACGACTTGATATACCTAAGTAGTAAAACATAAATGATTTATGTTCACTGGACTGCACTTCAAAACAAGCAAATTTTTGTAATACAGCATTTCTGTTTATTGTCTTTTCACCACCAGACATTTCCGCTCAAAATAGAAAAGAACCCTAATTTTGGAGCCAACTGACTAAATTTGAGTAAATTTTCAGATTCTACTCAAAAATATTGACTATATTTGTCTCAATAGTCTGAAAGAAAGTGCAGACTATAAACAGGAATATTTTGTGAATTTGTGATGAAAGGAAGGAACTGGTGGTGAAAAGGTTAACTCCTGAGTAATACAATTGTTTTGATTGGTCACTACATGGACACGTGATCCTATAACATTAATCTTGACCAATCAAGAAAGTGGATAATTAAAATGCAAATATTTAATTTTAATCATGCATAAATATCATCATTTTAATGCTTGGGTTACAGGCTAATTCATGCACACGTTATTCAACAGTTACAGACCAACTTGTGGGCGGCAATTACCAATAAAACATATTGCCATGTTGTTTGATTAGAATATAAATATACTCACTTTTACTTCTTGATTTCTGTAGACTTAGTTTTGACATAGCCAAACCCTTTACAGAGGATGTTGAACCAAGTCTTTTCTTTCCAGCAGTAGGCGGCTTTGAACACTTTTTATCATTTAGTTTATCTCTGTATGACTCTACCCTGGCTCGTTTTGGTTCTTGCTGTTTTCCTTGCGTTGTTCTCTTCTGAGATGTTCGAGAGTATGTATCTAGGCAACTATCAATTGTATTGTTGATTTGAGAATAGTCTAAATCACCCATTGGTGTCAACATTGACTCATCATTTTCCTCCACATGCTGCAGATTCTCGTTTGTAAAACTCTGACCATTAGCTGCTTTCTGCGATTCAGTCTTTGATACAATTCTAAATTCCCCGCAAGGTTTAGTGATTGTTGCAGATGCAGACGAAAGACGCCGCAAATCAACAGATGGCACATTATTTTCAGCTGATGACCGAGTACTCGATTTTCGTGGCGTCAGCGTTAATTTACCACACGGCTCTGTGGTTACAATTTGCGCTTGAATAAGTCTCCTTGATCGGTTTTCTGTTTCAACAATTACAGGTGGACCAGGAAAATGGGTTTGTGTTTCATTACAAGGTTCTCGAGGAGTAAGGAAGAGTTGCTTGGTTGCTTGACCACTTCTTGATATCACTTCTTGTGGTTCTTTCGTAATGGTAGTAGATAAGACTTTTGATTCTCCACAAGGTTTTGTAATAGTGGCTGATGCAGAGGAAAGATGTCTTGTATCAAGGGTTACAGTAGTAGACTCTTTAGGCGTCTCCGTGATGGAAGTCGATAATAACCTGGTCTCACCAGATGGTTTTGTGATGGTACCAGATAACAATCTTCTTGGTTCTGCTGTCATTCTTGAAATCGACTCATCGAAGGGTCCTGTAATAAACGCTGACTTTGACAGGGAATTGATAGAAGTTGAAACCACTTGTTCAGATTCAGTGGTTAAAGGACAAGTTAAAGGCAATGGTTCAGGGAGGAAAGCAGAAATAGGAGAAAGGTTTTTCACACAGGGACCCTGATCCATTGATTGAGACATTAATTTAGATTCACCAGAAGGTTCAGTGATCATGGCCGATACAGAAAGCAATCTTCTCGATTGGTCCAACACTGTGCATGCATCTGATATTAACGACTGATCATCAGGTTCCATGGCAACAGATGAAGATAGCATTTGTGATTCACCAAGAGGCTGTAAGGGCACAATTGGGGCTGAAACTAGTTTTCTTGTGAGGTTTTCTGGTTTTCTTTTTTCTTCATTTGGTTCTAGTATTGACGTTGACAGGGGTATATGTTCTCCAGATGGGTGTGTGATCGTACCAGACACAGATGAGAGTCGTTTGGTAATTCTTGGTGGCATAGCAAATGATTCAGTTTTAGGTTTTCCAGTTGTTATCACCCCTCTTCTTGGCACATCAGACTTGGTTATTCTATTAACCAATCGTTTAGAATCAAAAGAATTAGTGGTTTTGGCATCAGTTGACTGGGTAACTCGAATAGTGGATGGTTTTGTTGCTGTAGCAGAAAACTTCTTTTTTGGAATTGCTCCTGTATGATTCTTTCGCGAGTTAGCACTACTTGCACCAGATGATACAGAATTCTTTCGAGCAGGCTTATTTGTTGTTTCTGTATCAAGCGGTGCATTCACAGTGGTACTTTTGGGTTTTCTTTTCATAGGTAACATCTGTGGTTCTTTGAATAGCTCTTTGCGAGGAATTTCAGCTTTGCTGTCTTCCTCGCATTGCATGGCGTGTAGGAAGCCCTTCTTAGCATCTGTCAGAGGAGTACTGCTGCATTTACGACGACTAGGCTGTGTCGGGCTTTCAATGAGAAATGATCCCAAGATATCAGCAGTGTGGTTAGCTAGTAGTTCAGCTTCGCTGACAAGGATACTGGTGTTTAAAGATGTTCCATGGATGTCGCTGTAAGCTAAGCTATGGTCGACATCACCTTGATAAGATATCAAGTTGCATAGATCTGACAGAGGTTCCACAGGTGGTGCCACTGATGATGCATTCTGGCCAATACAGAATGTAAGTCGGCTATCCTCCTCTGCAACAAGTGGTTGTGATGGCAACATTGGATTGATGTCAGACCGATTTGGACTAATGCTAATATTTAAAGCTGAATTATTTAATGGTAGTCTAAAATCAGATTGACTGTCAATAGAAGCATTCAGAAATGATGGATTAGGTAACTTTTCAAAAGTTCTGGATCGCCTTATTGATGATGGAGTAGTGGGCATTGGAGTGATCAACATCCCTAATGGTGAAGTTTTTTCATTGGTAATAGCTGCTTCGTTGGGATGAATATTCTCCTCATCAAATCGTGAGACATTTGGACTGCGATGTTTTTTTCCATCTTTCAACAACTGCTTACATTGCTTTTTGAGTTTAGTTGAACGTAACTCTGATATAACAGATTTCTTCACGTTCCATTTACTTCTTTTTTTCTGAAGCAGAAAGAAAATGGAAACTTGAATAAATAAGAGTTAGCATGTTTACAGTAATATGATTTATTGTAAATTAAAAAATATTTTTGTGAAATGCAAATCCTGCACTGTTAATACACACTGGCATTTTCATTTAAGATTACATTAAATGATTACTGCTATGTCTAATACTCCAAAACATTTTTTTTTTTTTTTTTTTTTTGAGATAAATTATACCCTAGTGTTTTTCTTTGTATGCATTTTCAAACATGCTCAAAGAAATTAATAAATAAAACTTCACATTGTTCTCCCAATAAAGTTTTGTAAACATCATTTTACGTTTTTGTTTTAACTTTAACTAAACAAAAGAATTCTTGGCCGCACACTGTACATACATTGTACATCTTTTTCTAGGGTATAAATGCATATACTGTACTAATATTTAATTTTACTGATTCACGGTCGATATTCTATCAACTTACAGTTTTTTTGACTGGAGATGCTACCGATGTACCAACCATTATTACTTGCAAGCGATGAGCATTGTCAAATTTGAAGGTGACCAACTCCCGGACGTTCCCAGCTTCGGTTGGAGACCAACGTATGCTGACAATTTGTTCCTCTTGACTCTCTAGAACCCATCTATCCTCCGAAATAGTAAAACCTTTTTGTGACGGAAATCTTTCAACTACCAGTTGTACATCCAAGTCCGCAGGATTCACCAGTCGAAGTTTACATGACTTCGATCGGTTCACTTTGACTTTGCCGAAACTAATGATCGTTTTACCAGAGAAGAAGGCAAGCTTCAGGACTGGTATATCTTCATCAACCGGTGGTGATTTTCTGTGCGGTGTACGCGAAAACCATGATCCGCGCTTCTGTTTTGGTGTATTCGGGGAGCTCAGCCCGTTGAATGAAGGAGACACAGCAGCGGCCATGATGATCCACTGCACTACACAAATCAGATCAGCACAAATTAAGTAATAGTCAAATAAAAGATGAAAAAAGTAAAAGCATTAGCAACTTTCAATTGACGAATAGTTATACATCGTATTATTCTAAGTGCATGCGATCATAGCCACAAACATCTTCGACGTCAAACTTCCCTCAACTGAAAATTCGAACCCAAATTGACTGGCGGTCATTGGTCTGATGCTGACCAATTAGAAAGCTGGAACTAGAGATTTAAATTCTAAACGCTCCCTGTGTAAGGTCAAAGGGCAATCACATGACTCAACTTTGACCCGCCGTCGGCGACATGTTGTGATCGTGGCGAATGAATGGATCTCAAGTGATGATTTACCTTTTTTGTGGCATAACAATATGGATATGAAGGTTAGTGATTGTAAAATATGGAAAGATGTGTGATTACTGTTTGAATCCAAGTGTTTTCGATTTGCTGCGTGTGTCCATGTTCTAGTTACAGTGCAATTCAGATCAATACATTTGTTTCAATAAATGTTTCTGTTGGATTTTTGTTCATTGGTTGGGCGGCTCGAGAGTTAGGGTAAGGGGTGGGGTACATTGGAAAGTCATTCCGTCATACTGACTGATAGCTTCGAGCAAGTATTAGCCACAAAATGGAATATAAAGGCTCAGTCTATTTCAATTACAGGGTATTGATTGATTGATGAGATATTATTTGAAAAACAAGTTAAGCAGACACAAGTACACCCCTAAAATAATGGATTGTGCCTAGCTGCAGTTCTGTAGCTAGATTGTGCCAGACAAGTTGGTAGACATGATGAAAGAAATTTTGTTAAATATTGGGAAAATGATGACAGTAATGGTAAAATGATCTTGTAACTTTTTGATGTGCTTGAAACCTGGAAACACTATTCGTATTTCATCTGAGTTTGACATTCATATTCAGATCAAAATTAAACATTCTTTTAAATAGCATCGCCTTGAAACAGACATTTTGACAAATTTGCATGAACAAATTAAGGCACAACACACTCACATAATGTTTATAGTTTACTGCCTTCTCGTTAGTTGCTTGGCACTTGGCCAGCTGGCTGGCACCAGCAGTACCGGTAACTGTGAACCTTGTAGGAACAATCATTATGTCCAAAAGGGTTCAGTAATAAAGAAGTGTACATTCAATTTACGATATATCTGTTTTAATAGTTGCCCGACAGCAATCGGTTTAGTCAAATGTAAAACTAAGATCAATACTGCCAAATAATAAAATACTAGTGTACACAAATATTTGATATTATTTGCCTTACAGATGTACATCCGATTTTATGAGTGTATTGAGCACTTACTTTTTAAAGAATTGCATATTGAAAAATGGGCACGTAAGTATGAAATATACACTTATATTTACAAAATAAATCCTGTCAAATCATTTTGTAGTGATTTGGTATTTTGATGAGAAGTGAATCAACTTGTCAAAATAAGATCACGAGTGAAACAGCACCATATCACAAGGTTGTCATGTAATAACCTCTTAATCATACATGGTTTCATGATCGATAATTTCCTGTGAGACAAATAAAGATATCTTTTCACACAGACTCACACATGAAGTTCATGGAACACTTTATAGGGAAACTAATCAACCTTATGGACAAGTTTTAAATCAAACAAAATAGTTCCACACATCAGTCTGCAGTTTAGATAGTCCTGTGTGATTAATAGAATGGAATGAAATTTGTGCTTTTCAATTTTCAATCTTTGTAAACTGGTATGTGATTACTGATTCTCAGTCTCCCACTGAATGCCAGTTAGCACAAAAAATATACAGTTGTAAGAACAACTTAAAACACACAGTGGTTAAGTTTATAACATGTGTAGTGATAACAAAAAATAGTTCAGGCTTTACATGTTCCATGTTTGAAGATATTGTATTCTGTAAAATTTTATCGTCTTTGCTCTAACAGAAACATGGCTATGGTAAAATAGTTCAGTTTACAATAAATGTAAATTTTATGAGTCAGTGACAAAATGTCCAAATATGGGCAATGGTATATCATAATTGTTTGTATTTGAATATAAGAATGCCTGCTGAAATCTACCATAGACAAAGTGAATAGACAATGTGTTAATAATGTGTTACAATGAAAAGCACCGATATCTTGTCATTGAGATTTGTCTCTGAACAACTGATTACCTACTGGTGCTGTGTTTTCAAAATATTGTTTATAACCAACAGACTTTTGTGGACAGTTGAAATGTATTTACCTTATTTTTATGTGTAAATATGTCAAGACTGGAGATAAAGTCTGTCAGTGATAGAAAATATTTTTAAACAAATTATTTAATCAGTTGTTCTGATCTTACAACATCCAGAGCAGTTTCAATGGTAAAATCTCAGTGTTTTTTTAGTGTAAATATTGCTTTTTATAGACCTGGTAGGAGCTGTGCTGGTACTTTTTGTTTTTGCTATAATACTTGAATTATTGAAGACTCTGAGTCTGTATATTCAAAGTAAAGCTACAGCAAACCCTCTGCTGGAAGGAAACGAGAATAATTCTGTTAATGACACAGCAGCATTACTTGTCCCGCTGAGGATTCCTCCAACGGTGGAACACATTAAAAAAAGACGGTAAACTGTGGATTTGTTTGTTTTGTAAGCATAGATATAATGTTGGCCCTGCTTCAAAAACAAAAATTTTTTAAAGTGATGACCATATCTCGAATTTGAGCAAACAAATATGAAGAAATGTGATCCAGAAAGTGTTAGTTTATGAGCTTTGGGCTAAAACAAAATGTGCCACTAGACACCATTTTTTATTATATAAATTTATTTATATATAACAGATGATATGAAAATAACTTTCCATAAATAAAAAAAAAAATCCAAACAAAATACTGTATTTGCTCTAAGTGGAGTGCATATAAACCAAAAATTGAATACTGATATATTGTAAACAGAAATCATTACAATATGACATATTTTCCAAGAAAACATGCGTTAGCAATAAACCAAATACAGGAGGGTAATTCAAAATTTATCACATTTGAACATGTGGTTACCTACATTGAATGCATGCCAGATTATTTACTGTGAAATACTTTATTTTAGCTGGAATTCATTTTCACTGAAAAGACATTTTGGTTGTTTTGTATGGAATTTATTTTCACTGATTTTTGACGAGTTGAATGAAAAATATATGAAAAAAGGTATATTCGCTGGATTTTATTTTCACTGAAACATTTTTTGAGCAATAAATTAATCCAAAGCGAAAATAAATTATTTTACAGTATGTCATTTTCCACTGCTTTAATGTATATTTGATACAATATGAACCAATATTATTTTGTCTACTCCCTTGTTTTGTTCTTACATCATTCTGAATTCATTTTGTGAATGTTACACCACCGCATTTATTTATTTATTTTTTTTCAGATTGAAGCTTCATGTCGGTAATTCCATGGTGTACTTGTTGGACATAATAATTGGATACTTCTTAATGTTATCAGTAATGACATACAATGGATATTTACTGTTAGCAGTTGTATTGGGTTCGGGAGTTGGTTATTTCTTGTTCGGTGTGCAACGAGAAAAGTTGATCTCAAAGAAATCAGTGCCATTAACCAATCATGAAGAAGAGGTCACGGAATCTCAGCGATCAACTCAACCCCTTTCTTCAACAGCACATGGTTTTGGACCGGTTGATGTTTGAATCATCTATGCATCAAATGAATGACCTGTGTGTTAAAAAAAATGGCAGCTTTAACGAAAGTTCTCCAGTGCAAAAAAAAACAATTACCGTGACATTTGCATAACAATAAATTTGTCTCAACATGGGATAAGAAGATGGCTGATTTTGAGTGTAGTTAGCAATATAGATTTTATTTACAACTTCGTAACATTTTTTTATCACTTTTTCATAATATTCAGTTTCTTTTTAAATCAGGATTTTGATATAAAAATATTTGTTTTTAAACTGGAACAGAAAAATGGAAAGAAAAAATATTATAGCACAATATTGCATGTGAGGGCGCTATAATCATGTCAGCATTCCTTGTTAGCGGCAGTATAATTATGTCTGGAGGCATATCCTGTGAGGGCAGTGTAATCATGTTAGCATACCCTGTGAGGGCAGTGTAATTATGTCTGGAGGCATACCCTGTGAGGGCAGTATAATCATGTTAGCATACCATGTAAGGGCAGTGTATATCCTCTAGAGCGGACATCTGGGCATTTTCACCGCCTGGCAACCCTCGCGGTGAAAACAAAGGCCAAAAACTCGCAGAAAACGGTACTCTGGGATGATTGTTGAGACTCCTCTGAACAGTTTAACAAGATTAGCCCTGCGTGTGTAACATATATAGATTTGGTTGTTCAGGATTATTTCACAAGTTGAGTTTGTGTTGTTTTCTCGAATTTTCATCGGCTCGACCGGCGTTCCACAGCAGCGCGCACAGAGCCCATAGAAATGCATGTACAGTGGTGCGCGTCTTAGCAACGTGGAACGTCTGGTGACGTAGCTCCGCCCCCGAGGATATGTCTGGAGGCATACCCTGTGAGGGCAGTATAATCATGTCTGGGCAGCATACCCTGTGAGGGCAGTATAATCATGTCTGAACCGCATACCAACTAAGGAATTAGAGACAAACATTGACATCAATTACAATAATTGCAGCTGCATAATGTGGCAATAAGTTTTGTGTTTGAGATTTGTATAATGTATTGCAAATAGAATAGCTTACATGCAGTGATACCGTAACTTATTTATCTTCTGCTTTGTAGATATTTTTAAGTGTCTTATCAATAAAATAGAAGCTAAGCTGGCTAATATGAATTGATTTATAAATTATCACAAAGAACGATATTTCATATGATCTTGTCATAAGGACAATGCTGGAAAAAATCTAGCATCAGTACAGTGATGATCCTACCAGACTTTTAACACTCACTTAGCTTACACATAACACGCATACCCACACTACTTTTACCAGACAATGTACACTTACTCAAGGCAGCCATAACTATACAATCACTATTGTTCCAACCATATGGTACATTCCTTATTTAGTAAACATCACCTTTTTCCAGAATCAGTCAGTTCTTTCATTTGAGACTGACCAGTTTAAACTGGTAAATCAGTTTCTTAGTTGCAAACGTTTACTTGGTCAATCAGGGCAGTTTGTGATGAATATGCAAAGATTGCAACTTTTTAAAAAGAAACTTTTTTTTCTTGTGGCAACACCTTGGATACAAACCATGTTTTTTTCTAAACAGCCAAGCTGTGGAAAGCCACTACAGACTGAGCTTAGCAGGTGATTGACGAGAGTGCAGCAAGTGACCTCTGATTACACATTCATTGTATTTGGTGGAACTTTGTACATCCAAACATTTTTTTCTGATCTGAGCAAAATCTGATGTAGGTATAGGTTTCAGGCTTGTTATATACATTTTGATTAGGACAGTTTTTTGGTTTTACTTGCTTGATACTGGAGCACATACATTGTGTACCTAGCAGTACATCAAATTTTATCAGATTGCATCTGCACAAAAAGGAATCACTTAACATTCACGGTTTCAGGGCGTGTAAACTTGCTCAATTCTTATTTTGCAGCGGCAACACAGTGCAGCTAGGTCAGTTACGAGAAGGGATTTCACCCTATTGTTGATAAAAAGACGAACCAAGCTGTGGGTACTGGCCTTGATTAGTTCATTGGCGAATGTGACAGGGCCTGGTTGGTCATGATAACATGATAATAGCAGGGTTTTTTACAGGGCTCGTCAAAAAATACACCCCCGACAATATGTCAAGTACATTTCTCAAATTTAATAAATGACATTATCGACAAAGTACAATTGTCTCGAAATAAATAGATTGAAAGATCCCGCCAAAAATGTTATGTACCCTGAAATATATACCATATGCACTGTTTCATGCAAGCACGGAACTAGACTGAGGAGCTCCATGAAAACTGCTTTCAAAATATTTCGTGGCCCCCCCATGAGCATTGAACAATGCTATTCAATGGGTCCTTTCAAATCGGATAATAGCATAATGCATGATGTTAGCTTACGGAATTAACACCTTTGGTTGAAATGATAACAGCTGTGTAGCAAGTAAACAACTGGGTGGGCCATGCAAATTACAATTCCCATAATGCACTGGTGCAATCCCTGGGATTACAAAGCCGCGTTCAATGATTGAACCAAAAAGTTTTTCTTTTTGTAAAGCTCCTGGGACCTGCACTTTTAGGTCGCACCATAGTTTTACTGTACCAACAAGGAGAGTTGCCAAACTCCGCACAGCCAATAAAACTCCTCCATACTATTACACCCAGTCAGTAAACTTACCACAGCTGTTACATCAACTACTCATACCCAGTCAGTAAACTTACCACAGCTGTTACATCAACTACTCGTACCCAATACATGCATAGCTGTGGGTTGATTAACTTGCCTTTCAATGAAGTATACGCAGTTCAAGAACTTGAACAATTACCCAAATTTATATTTATTTCTTGTGAAAACATTGTTAACTTCTTGGGTGATTCATTTTTGTTCTTCCTAATAGTATATGCGACGGTAAACCACATTCATTTTACCAATCGAGGGAAAACTATGAAACAATGTATAGAGGTAGGTCAGGTGGTTCTTGACAATTCAACATAATGCAAGAAAATCTGACCATATAGAAGCCAATTTCACGAATCTGCATAATCAACACTGATGAGGCCAAGAAAACCTAAATAATCCACCAGTCTGGTAGATAATTTACTACTCTGGATATAAACACGTCAAAAACCTAGTCAAATTCAAGGCAGAGAAATGTGAACGAGCCTGTGACCATCGGTACGCAACAGCAATGATGGTAAGAGTTTCTGCAGTTTTAGTAGACTGTCAACAGTCCTCCGGCCTAATGAATTTATGTATCCCAGACATTCAAAGGCGTTTGATGGGAAATGCAAAGCATTACACATGAGGGAGTCCATACTTCCTGTCTTGGCAATTCACACCTATACACAATAACATATTAATATTAGGTACGACGACTGTCGACAGTTTTAGCAAAAAGCAATTTGAATAGCCATATCCCATCTGCCCACAGAACTTCACAAAGGAATTTTCCAGAACTAGCAACTTCCTAGAAATTGTAAGGCACCCTGCTACAAATTTTAGGTTACAAGCAACTCGTACACCTCGCAGAGACAAATAAACAGAATACAATGTTGACAAAACACCAGATTTATTGAATATTAAGAAGTGTCATTTCCAATTCACCAGCGAGAACTGAAGAACCGGTCTATCAAGGTAAAAAAAAAAAAAACATTTATGAACCACAAAAAATGTCTAGTATTATATAAAAAAAAGAGGGGAGAAGCAAACTTTAGTAATTTAGCCAAGGAGACTAAAGAGGCTCCTCAGCAAAATAAAAAAGTAGCTGAATATTTTGCAGTTGTTGAAACCCCCTAAGCATAAGGGCATTTTTACAGGAGATTTCAAACTGAATCGTGTTTATAAATGATAAGCGATGAACAATGGTGGCTGTTCTAAAAGAATGATTGATTGACTGCATGGAATAATTATACTGTTACTCATAACAGAAATAACACTGGTGAGGACAATGGGCTGCACTGACAAATGTTTTATTAAAATGTCTGTGACATACACAAAGCATGTTGTATTGGTTAAAATCTTGATTAATCATAACACAAACCAATCACAATTAACATAATCCAGTGAATATGCCACCATATATGGAAAAGTTAATTTACATATGCATTGGATAAGCCTCCAAATATGGAAAGGATAATTTAAATATCCAGTGGATCAGCTGCCATATATGGGAACTATACTAGTCACCGAGAAAACAAGCCACAGCACGTGCCATATATGGAAAGGCTAATTTACATATTCAATAGATAACCACTGAACATGGACCAAGCTAGAAATTGAATTTGTGCAAGTAATTTGGCACGAAATGAATATTTTTAACAGGACCAAAAAATAATGAAAACAAATTTGTGGTCTGATGGGTATTTTCAGTAAAATCTATATGTAGTTGTATGATAAAGAAATAATTTGGAGACCCAAAATGGATAAATATTAAACCCACACTCACACAGATGAGGAATGTCTGAAAGTGTCTACACAATATAGCTAAATTACAAGGCAACTGTAACACTCTGGTATCATTTTACAATTTTTTTTTTTAAAATATCTAAATATGGTGGCTACTAAACATTAAGTTGACAAAACAAAACATTTTCCCATTACAATTGGTAACAAATTCTGTTAAATTGTCTCGGTGGAGATACAATAATTTCTAAAACGAATATAAGATGAATTTTTGGCATGGGAAAAAGTTGTATGTTCAAAAATCACAAGAGCGCACTTGCGACCCAGAAAAAAAAAATAGTAATTTTGTTGGTTTAAAGATTTAAATCAGTATTCTGTATTCTGAGTTGCGTCAAAATGAAAAGTTACCCCAACTTGTATCTATGACACTTACATTGGATAGGATGGTATGTTTGAGGTGTGGAATTCGCATCAGGCAAGCGAGAAGAGGTGGGACCAACTATTATCAGTTTGCGAAGTGAAAACATTATTACAGCCTCTTTCAAATGTGGTATGCGTTTCTATCCCAGTTTTGGCATTGTTTATTATTTGATAATAGAAAATACAGAAATTCATCTCAATGTAAAAAGACAGATGTGAAAAGTACTGGCATCTAATCTACATATTGAATCTATGAAACAAGGTTTCATGAAAATTGTATAAACATTATGTACGGTAACTTTTACTATCCTCATTGTGGGAGAAACCCCAAATCACAGAAAATGGAAAGTAGCGAATAGAAAGCACACTAGCTTGAAAGTGGCTGCAAAAACGTCAAGGGATCCACTGTTTGTATGAAAACAAAAAGAGTGCATAGTTGAATACATAAAAATACTACAAAAAATAGATACTTTTGTGTATGCCAGACAAATAAATGAGGTGGTATGTTCTGACACAAGATGGTGAAAAGTGTAGGGTAAATTAGGCCTCATCTTCTTCGTCATCATCGTCATCTCCCTCTCCTTCCTCGCCTTCTCCCTGAAAATAAATGTTTGTAACAGTTACTTTATGGTGGGTAGACGGTTAGAAAAAGAAGGTTCTAAGTAAAGAACCCATTATCTGCTTGTAAACCGTTCTGAATGGCGTTATCAAGGTCAGGCCAAAACTAGAGCCTTGTCGTCACAATTTCGTAAATGACCCTCCTGAGATGAAATGCTCACGATGCAATTATTTTACCTAATCAGCCATCAAAAGCAATTTTTTTGAGAAATCTGGGGTATTAGAAATGATGACTGACACTAATAAGTGAGGAAGATGTCGCCAAAAATGATGTACAGGAATGGCATATTAACTTTTACCATGTATTAATCATCTGCACAAGGACCGATTTAAAACATTAGAAACTATTACATTAAATGCAACTTGTATACTTAAGCTGAAATATGAGCAAGATAAGACATCTTCACACAAACTGCTCTACAGAGCATTGGTTTCACATCAATTGGTGGAAATTGCAGTTGCTATGCAACAACATCTTTGAGCAAGTTGCTTAAAAGAAGATTGGTCTTCCATGAATTGGTAGAAACAACTAACCTCTTCTAATTCATCTTCATCAATTCCTCCATCCAAGTCATCATCACTTTCTCCTTCATCATATTCCTCATCAATATCTTCAAGATCTTGGCCACCATCATCGCTGTCCCCCTCCCCTTCAACTTCCACTTCTGGAACCTAGGAAATACATTACAATGAGCAAAAAATAAAATTCATCACTCATT